AGTTTTCCTCTTTCAGTTGTATACCTTTTATATGTATATGAGGCGAATGAATATACTATAAATTTATACTAAATCCTCAAACTGGTATCTTTGCTCTTCAACTTTTTAAAGAGGTGTTATGCAGCAGATTTGCCCAGTGCAATACATCATTTGATTTCCTGACTGCTGCATCTGTGAGCATTGATTATGGATCCATACAAAATGAAGTCTTCAGTCTTCTCTCTGTTTTTCATGATGTTATTAACTGGTCTAGTTGTGAGGATTTTTACTTTTTTTACACTGAAGTGTAAACCATACTGACTGTTGTAGTCCTTATTCTTTGTTTGTAATTTGAGTCCTCTTCTCTTCTGTCATCTGCATATGAGTTGTCAATGAGTCTTCTCCAATCCGGATGGCAATCCCAGCTTCTTGGATTACTTGTTCAGCATACAGACTAAATCACTTTGGTGAAAGGATACAACCCTGGCACACACCTATACAAACCTGGAGGCTCATAGCAATCCCGTATAAGGTTTTCAAGACACAGTCCAAGGGTTACCGGAGCAGACAGACTCGTCTCTCTCTCGCGGAGTGGCTGATGAGTTTCAACAGCCACCCGCTTGGCTAGCAGCCTAGTGCTTCACCCATAGCACCCCCAGGGCATTTCATAAGACTATCTCATTTAATCCTGTTTGGGTTATTTGCCTGAAAATATTTTTATATCCCTCAGACTTAGCAATGGCATGTCTAAAAACTTGATAAATGTTTTCTGTGCCATGGTGTTTGAAGGTGAAATAGCGCACATCTGAAGGCGGTACCATCCCATTGCCAGCGCATCTCTGCACTTCAATACGAGGCCTCTCGCAGAGTGGGTTCGTTTGATCAGGTTTCCACTGACAGTGTTCCTTCCTAATGGAAGCTCACATTAGAGAAGGATGCTGACTTTTCAAACTATGATTCACTGAAATAACTGTATACATGGACATCAAACAGTGGTTTGTGAAAATTCCTGACCACTAAATTCCTATCTAATGAAGAGATTCAGAAAATTCCCTAAGCGAACCTGTGGGTGAATAAACGGTTAGTTTAGTGAAATGGTTAATATTTATGTATGTTAAGTGACAATGAGTTGGTTCCAACTCATAGTGATCCTGTGTAGGGTTTCTGAGGAGCAGCTGGTGGGTTTGAACCGCCAACCTTGTGGTTATCAGTCCAGTGCTTATCCTACAGCACCACACCAGGACTCCTTTCAGATACAAAAGAGCAGTTAAGGAACTAGACACAAAAGCTAAAGGAACAAGGCCCTTCTCTGAGAGCCAACAGAGAGCCTTCCCCTAAAGCTGGGGACCTGAACTGGGGCATCTAGTTTCCTAAACTGTGAAGGGAGCTTTGGTAGCATAGTGGGTCGTGACCTGGGCTGCTAATCCAAATTGACCAGCTGCTCCTGTAACGATATACAGTCTTGGAAATCCTACACAGGGTCGCTGTGAGTCAGAACTGACTTCACAGCACACCACCACCAGCACCAGTTCCGACTCATGATTCTGTAAAGGGTTTCTAAGTGGATGGTGAGTTCGAATTAATGACCTTGCTGTTCAAACTGACCTTGCGGCCCAGGACCTAACCTACAGTGCCACCCATGTGTACCACATTCTTCCTGGAGAACCAGTTGTTAAATGTTGGTTCCTTCTGCTTTGCCTCCTTTAACACTTTCCTGAGGGTGAACCCGTCTTTTCTCTCATCCCTGAGCTCCACACATGAATGCCCAGCAGCCCCGTAGATGCTTCATACTCCCTCCCACAGAGTGTAGAGCCCTGCATGGATCCCTGACGCCAGACACTCCCCTCAGCCACAGGCTCCTATGGTACTGCACAAGAGCACCTTATTTGGTCTTGCTGTGGTCCTGAGGTCTGTGGGGAGACCTGCTGGATAGGACACGGGAGAAGGGGAGTGTCGGCCTGCATGTGTTAACAGGTCACATGTGGTGAGATGGGGTGGGGAGGATGAGTTGACTGTTGGGCTTTTGAGTTTGTGGTGTCTTGGGGACAGGTTTGGAGGAGGCTGGGCCTAAACATGGAGCCATCTGCAAATACACTATAATTACAGTTGTGGATGTGTATGAGCTTCTCTAGGGTAAAAGAACAGAGTGAGACAAGGGCTTGGGTGCGCCTTGAGGTGAGCCACGTAGGGTGGGTTGAGTCTGCAAAGGGATGGGGTGTGGTCAGTGGGGAGGTAGAATTAAAATGTTGTGAAATGGAAGGAACTCCTATTGGGATGTGTCCTTTGGGCTAGGGACATTCAGGTTACTATGGTCATAGCAGAAGCTCTCCTTCTGGACACCAAAGAGAACGTGGAGGTGAGGCTGAGGGACCAGGCAAAGGACGGTCTAAGGCAGGAAGTCACTTGGCATTACCCAGGGCTGGAGGGGGTGACCAAGGATGAGAACACTTGGCAAAGAGGGGCCCAATTCCAGACGTAGTTCTAGGTCCCACTGGGTGTGATATAGGGAATGTAGGAGGTGAACTGAGAGAAGACGACAAATCTCAGGCTTCTGACTCCACTGACTTCAGGAACCTTGGCGGGAGGGCTGAGCAGGGAGCCTGGGAGTAAGGAGGGCTGAGGTGTGCAGGTAGCCTGCAAACCACACCTGAAGTTCAGGAGAGAGGTGAGGTCTGCAGGTGAAGCTCCAGGAGTGATCAGCATTCCGGGAGGTGGCTGTCCATGTGGCGAGAGAATGGAGTCTGCCATGAAGTGATGTATAGAAGGAAGAGCAAGGGTCCAAGGTGGAACCCAAGACACTGGACGCTCTCGGGGACTGTAGGACAAGCGTGCATACAGTAGAGTTTTCCCAGAGGAGGGAGAGAACATGAGGCAGAGACTCTGTGTTTCCAGGAGTGACCAGTGGTCCAGTCCTGCACAGGCCAAACAGGATGAGGACCGCAAGGTGACTCAATCTGACTCAAAGCATTGTGGATGGGCAGTTCCCACAGTGAGGACAAGATTCCAGAAACTCAGGAGAGAAGAGAGAGGAAGTAGAAGACTCTTACAAAAGGTTTGATGAGGAAGGGTGGAGGCAATAACTGGACAGGAGAACATTATTTGTTCGTGCCTGCACATACTTATGACTATCGCTCAATGGACTGAATCCTGGTCAGGCAGTGAGTTCATTACGCATTGGGCTGCTAACCATACAGTGAACGGTTCAAAGCCATCCCATGGGAGAAAGATGAGGCTGTCTGCTCCTGTCAGGATTGTGTTTTGGAAATCCTAAGGCTCCATTCTACTCTGAGTTGGAACTGTCCACTTAGCTGATTCAAACATACAAGGACATGTGTCTGTATAATTGCCTGCCAGCCCTTCTAACAATCAGCCAGCTCTCTGATTTAATATCTGACCTGAGCTCCCTACAGTCCAGATTCCAGCTCCGTCACTAGTTGAGTGGCCTTAGGAAGACAGAAAGGATTGCTTCACACTTGAGCTCCTGCCCCATAGCCACGTGGGAGTCTTGATAGCATTGAAAAGTGGATGCAACTCTGGAGAACAGCTGGGGTACAGTAAACAGGAAATCCTTATTCTCCACAGAACCGAGTGGCAAAGCCAGTCATGGACTCTAGTGACCCAGGAACACACTTGGGAGTGCTGAAGTGGGATACCTTAGGAGCTCCCAGCAGCCACTTACGTGCACTGATAGCACCATAGGGTAAGCCTTGGGCTACTAACTGAAGGGTTGGCAGCTCAAACCCATCAGTCGCTCTTGCAGAAAGATGAACGGCCTTGGCAACCTTTGGGGGGTGGGTGGGTGGGGCGCGGCAGTTCTACTCTGTCTGAAAGAGCTGCTCTGAGTCGGAATTGACTTACTGACAAAGGGGATTGTTTTCAACACCATGCAGTGAGGAAGAGCAGGTCTTAGCTTCTTTCCATGTCATTTTATTACAATCCTGTTTGTGTGTTCTAGAAATAGATGGATATTTAAGACACAACCCAAAGCACTCCTAAAATGGATCTTGTTAATCCTCGCTCCTTTCTCAGTCTTTTCAATCCAAAAAAAATCTTTAAGGAAAAAAAAAAAGTCAGTGAGCATAATTTGTCCCAGGAACAAAGCACCTTTACTAAACAGGAAACAAAATTTGCCAGGAATCTGATTATAGCCACAAAGCAGCAAATAAATGTTCAATGGGACATAAATAGACTCCCCCTCAAGTATTTATATTTCACGTGTGTGTGTGTATATATATATATACATGTAATATATTAAAAGAAATTTGGTTTCTACCCCAAAAAGTAATTCAGAAATGGGGGAAGAAGGGTGTTTCAGCTCCAGCATGCACCCGGCCATGCCCTTCTGTACACTATATACACGGGGAGTGTACATCCCCAGCAAATCCATACACGGGGAGTGTACATCCCCAGCAAATCCAGTGTTGACAGCAAAGTGCCAGGGTGCCAGGAAGGCAGGTCTGTCCTGCAGGGCACACAGGAGCTGCTGAAGGGGGAGGCCAACCCTGATGCCCACCTCACCCCTCTCTACCTGCCTGCAAGTGCGTGGGACCCCCACAAACAGGACTGCAAACTGGTTTTGAACAGCAAGCAGAGTCTGCCACAGGCCTGGGAGACTGTAGTTTGGCCTGTCTGGGTTTCTCCTGGGATTGAGTGAGTTTGGGGAAGGGAAAGGGGGTTTCCAGAGCCATTAGGGCTCAGCCTGGTGGTGTGTGTATGCGTGTACACACATGAGCATGTTTTGATGGAGGTCAACAAGTTGTGAGTGTTCCCTGGGCCATGTTAGACTAGTGTTGGCTGGGGGCCATCAGTGCTGTCCCTGCATTCTATGTGGTCCCCATGGGGAGGTGGATTTGTTCAGAAGAGATCCGTTCCTGAAAGTCGCAGATCCAGAAGACACATCCATCTAGGAGTGGAGTCCTCGTAGGGTTTGGCACAGTGTTATAATTCAAAGACAACCCGGAGGGGCACCTTTCCTGGCAGCCGCTGGGGACAGACAGTGCGCACCCGGGGTGGCAGGCGAGTCACACGCAGCCATACTCGTACCACACTGTCTGCTGGTCCCCGCCCGGCTCTGGGGACACGGGTGTGCTCCTAGAGCTGCCCCCTTGGCTGAAGTCCTCCGGGGCCTGGCCAGCAAGGGGAGCTGAGTCGGGAGACCGTCCTGGGCTCTTGGCAGGGGGCCCCTCGCTGTAGCCCTGCGCTGCATCCCCCTCTGAGAGGCTGCGCCCTGTCTGCACAGGGGTGATGGTGGCCACCTCCCCCGAGTGTGGGGGTGTTTTGGGCTTTGTCCTGGCAGCAGGGACTGCCGAAGGCGAGAGTCGCTGGATGCTGCTGCACTCACCGCCCCCAGAGCCAATGGCTAGGGTGGTAGCCGACTGCTGTAGGGGGGCCAGCCTCTCTGCCTTCGGGGGGGCCAGTGAGAAGCGTCTCACGTCCAGTGGCCGGCTGTGGGGCCCAGGACCCTGACAGGAGCTGCTGGCCTTTCCCATAGGCAGGGTGCGCTCCCGGCCTAGGCTGTGGGTGCTGGGGGGTGTGGGGCTTTGCAGGGGATGACAGCCTGCCTCTCCGCCCACCGAGGCCTCGAGAGGCCCTGGTTTCTGAGGGGATTCCTGTTTGCAGGCCTCTGGCCCGCTGGCCCGCAGGAGATCAGCTGAAGCCAGGCTGAAGGCCCGGCTCAGGGATGTGCTCCGACCTGTCGGGGGCATCAAGGCCTGCCGGGGTCTGCCCAGAGACAGGCTCTGGGGTGGCTGGGCCTGCCTCGGAGAGGGGCTTGCCAGGGCCCCGGCCTCGGCTGCTCTGAAGTTTGGCCTCACGTACTGCCCGGGCTTCGCCAGCCTCCCCTCCGAAGTGCTCATGGTCATCTTGACAGTGGGGGCCACAAAACTGGTGGGCATCTTGGTGCCATCTTTCCTGAGCAGAGATCCTGGCTGGCCTCCGATGGTCGGGGGGTCATTGGCCTTCCGGAAGTAGTCACTTAGCAGGTCATCCCGGCAATTGGGTGTGTCCTGTAGAGAGCGGGGAGACCCAGGTCACCTCTCAGGGGGCTACTTTCTAAGGGCTCCTCAGTCCCACATGCAATCACAGAGCCTGGAGAGGCTTTAACACCTCAACAAGTGAGGATGCTGAGGACGTAGAAGCAGGTTCATTGTTGAGTGCATGGCTGACCTGGGTTCAAACCCAGCGAGGGCTGATGTCAGAGCTGTTTCGGCATCACCTGGCGACGGGTCCCATCCCAGGAACCCCTTGCAGCATCTCTCACACCCAGAAGAGGAGAGGAGGGCACATCAGGAGTGGGTGGTTAGTGGGCTCAAAGCCCTGCCTAATCCCCACCATGGCGGGCCCCGTCCTGAAGGACTCGGGAGACGGCCTCAGCCTTCCTGGACACATGGCCTGTGTCCTGTGCTGCCCTGTGACCCTGAGATGAGCAGCTGCACTAGAGACAGACCCGCTCTGGGGAGGGGGGAGACCCAGAGCAAGGCTGCTCCGTGCGCCCTCAGGGCTCTGCCACAGCTCCGAGTACCACCGGACGCTGGTCACAAAAGTCCTGTCAGCTCACCTTCTCGGTGGGAAGTTGACCCTCCTCCCACTGCCCACTCCTGAGGGCACTCACCTGCGTTGGAGAGCTGCGGTTACTCTCCTCCAGGAATTCCTCCAGAGTGACCATCTCTCTGCTCGGGGAGGCAGAGCAGGGCCGCCCTCCAGCATGGGGCTGGGCGACAACCCTCCTCTGGAGCACACCATCCTGGGGGAGTGGCCCGTTCCGGGGAGGTGGGTACTCATGGCGGCTGAGGGTGGGGCGCCCTGGGGTGCTGGCCACATCCCTGCTGGGGATCAGGTCTTCACTGCTGATGCTCTCGGACCTGCCGTGGAGCTGGTCAGAGGAACCTGGGTATCGGGGCGACAAGGGGTGCTCGGTCAGTCTCCAGGGGTCGGGGGCTGCCTCTGATTCAGTCATTGTGCAGGGCTGGACTTAGGGCTCCATCTGAGATGCTTAAAAATTCCACTTTGACATTGAAGAGCAAAATAACATGAGGCAAAGGTGGAAAGGTTCTGCTACAGCGTAAATCAGGGCCAGAGAACGTCTGGCCCACGGACCATATTGTTGTTAAGTGCCGTCGAGTCGGTTCTGACCCATAGCGACCATACACAGTGTTTCCGAGGCTGTAAATCTTTACAGGAGCAGAAAGCCTCATGTTTCTCCCCTCGGAGCAACTGGTAGTTTCGAACTGCTGACCTTAAGGTTCGCAGCCCGATTTGTAACCACTACGCTACCAGAGCTCCTTGCATATAGGGCCTATGAAATCATTTGGTCTGGCTCTGCCAAGGCAACCGCAGTTCCAGCCATCAACACTGTTGTTGTCGTTGAATGGTGTTGCGTCTGTTCTGACTCACAGCAACCTGTATCGTTTCTAAGGATCAGTTGGTGGGTTTGAACTGCTGACCCTGCGACTCACACTGACCTTGCAGTCTAGCTTATTATCCTGCCGTGCCACACATTGTGTGTGTTAAGTGCCATCGAGTCGGTTCTGACCCATAGCAACCCTGTATAAGGTTTCCAAGGAGCAGCTGGTGAGCTTGCAGTTCAAAACAGCTTTGTAGTCTGACGCATTAGCCCACGGCGCCACCCCAGGGCTACAGCTGTACAATTAATTCTTGCCTTCCATGTGGGAGACAGATTCAATTCCCAGTCAATGGTGCCTTGTGTGTAGCTACCAGCCATCTGTCAGTGGTAGACTGCATGTTTTAGCGGAGCTTCCAGACTAAGACAGACTGGAAAGAAAGGGCTGGCAATCTACTTCCAGAACTCGGCCAATGAAAGAAACAGCTATGGATTATAATGGTCCAATCTGCAACTGATCAAGGGGACGGCACAAGGACAGGCAGTGTTTCCTCTCAGTGTACATGGGGTTGCCATGAGTTGGGGGCAGACTTGACAACAGCTGACAACTCAGAATTGCTCTCCCACACAAGACTTGCCAAGCACAGAGGGCAGAGTTTGTCTTGTCAAGGCAAAGGAGGAAGAAATGCTGCTGCTCTCTGGAACCAGAGATCACACTAGAGGAGTTTGAAGCTGGTCACAGAATGAGGGTAACCATAGCAACAGCAAAACCCAAACTGGGTCAACTCTTAATTTGGTTGACTCAACTTTCCCTAAAGAAAGCACAACCATTCACAGGTATAGATAGATGCTATTTACTTCATTGTCAGCTGTCCTCTACCCAGCATCCAGTTTTCAACAAAAATTAAAAACACACAGCCAGAAAAACAGCAACACTGTCAAGAAGAAATAAAGCAAAAAACAGAACCAGACTCAAATATAAACCAGACTGGAATTAACATGCAGGAAATTTTAAATTAATTGTGGATGATATGGGAAAGCTTACGGCTGTCACAGATACAAACAAGGAGCAGGTAAGCACATGATAAATGACACAGTAGCAGAAATGAAGTATGATTTTACTGGGGGAAAGACTTCAGCTGATTAATGGTGGTGTTGTGGGTTAATGTGCTAGACTGACTGCAAGGTCGGTTCATGCTCACTGGTCACTCTTAGGAAACCCTATACAGGGACGCTACGAGTCAGAACCGACTTGATGGAACTTAACAACAATGTAAACCCTTGGACTCCTGGTGTGGTGCTGCAGGGTCAGCACTGGACCGCAAACCACAAAGTCAGCCGTTCAAACCCACCAGCTGCTCCTCAGAAACCCTATACAGGGTCACTCACTATGAGTTGGAGTCAGTTCAACAGCACACAACAACAACATTGTAAATCCTAGGGCAATCTGTAAACCAGAAATTTAAGAAGAACTATAAACAACAGCAGATAGTTGTTGCTGTGTGCTGTCGAGTTGGTCACAAGGCACAGGAACCTGTAGAGCGTTTCTGAGCGTGGTTGGTAGGTCTGGTTCTTATGTCACTACCTATTAGAAATGAGCTAAAAACACTCAATCCAAAATCCAAAAGCAGGCGAAGGAATCACAGCAGCCCCATGAACAGAAAAAACTAACAAGATGGTAGACAAAAATGCAACCGTCCCAGTACTCACCATAAGTGGTAACAGTCTAAACATACCCATTAAAAGATGGAGCCTCTAAGACTGCATTAAATGTGTGAGGTCCCATTATACGTTAACTACAGGATACAAATGTACACAGGCAAAAGCCAAGAGGAGGAAAAAAGGCATGTCATAAAAAGCTGAATCAAGAGAGCTTACAGTAATGTTGGCATAGACAAACTTCAGAACAAGGCGTATTATCAGAAACAAGTATCTTTACATATAAGGCATCCTGGTGTGGCACTGGGCTGCAAGGTAGGTGGTTCAAACCTACCAGCTGCTCCTCAAATATTACCCAGGGTCACAAGGAGGCAGAACCCACTAGACAATTATATAATAAAACAGTGGGAGTTTTCCTCAATCTTTTTCAAGACCTCTTAGAAGAGGGTCATTTGTCAAAACATGCCAACCCTTAAACAAAAAGCATCCAAGTTCTTAAATGAAAAACAGACAAGTCTACCATTATAATAAAAGATTTCAACACTCTTCTCTGAAACCAGAACAAGTAAATAAAAACTAGTAAGGCAACCTCATCAGTATTATCAATGAACTTGAGCTAGTGACAGAAACAGGGCACTCAGGTGCACAGGCAACATTCACCGAGACACACCATATTTCTGTACCCTAAAGCAAACCTCCAAACATTTAAAAGGATCAAAACCATCCAAGCTCCATTCTCTGATCATAACAGAACAGAACTACTGTTACTGTTACTGTCCCACAGATGGAGTCCTGGTTGGTGCTGCGGGTTCAATGCACAGGGCTGCGAAATCCGTTTGAACTGCAAAGTCAGCGGTTCAAACTCACCAGCTGCTCCTCGGAAACCCTATACAGAGTCACTATAGGTCGGAACCAACTTGAAGGCACTTAACAAACAATTCTAAGGATTGTCACTGGTTCATGTTTACAGAGTTAGTCAGTGGGAGAGAAAGGATTTAAAACAGAATCTGTTCAAACTCCCTGGCGTGTCCTTGAAACTGCACGGTGTGGCCCCTGAACTCACCACGATGCATTGAAGAACCCTGTTAGCTGTGTTGTTTACATTATAAAGCAAGTGCAGAGAAGGAAGAGACTCACCCTTGAGGTTCAGAGGTGAGCTATTGCTGGATGCATTTCTGCTGCTCTCCAGGCTACTTGGCCGGGACACTGAAAGGGAATGACAAGCTTCAACATAAAGAGCCAATGACCAGATAGATTCCAAATTAAAAGCCATGTCATCTGAGAAAAATTATGTAACAAATTTGAGTATACTCCAAAGTTAAGGCAAAAGCCTTCAAGAAGGAAGGAAGGCCTTTTGGGACTGTCTATTATGAGGGGCTTCAAAAAGTACGTAGAAAACTTTCATGATCTTTTCATTAGATTTTTCCACGCACCTTTTGAAGCCGCCTCCTATGTGTCTGTGAGGGAGTTTAGCTTCACCAGTGGAACTCGAGGCTCAGCACACAGGAGGCTGTCAATAGCCTCCGAACTACTACCGTTACCACTAAACTCTGTTACCTGTTAAGTATGATGGTTTTGCAGGTCTAGGGCTGTGGGTGGTACAAATGGGTAAGTGCTAGAGTACTAACTAAATGGTTGGCAGTTCAATCCCACCCAGAGGTGCCTCAGAAGTAAAGCCTGGTGATCTGCTTCTGAAAGGTCACACCTTTGAAAACCCTAAGGACTTGGGGTCGCCATGAGTCACAAATAACATGACAGAAACCAACAAAAGGGCTGTGATTTAAAACCGTTTGCAAAGCAACTCTACCGCAGAACCACAATATAAAGGCTGCTCTGGGTAAAGCAAGGGCTGGGGTGGGGCTGCAGAGAGAGTTCTGTCTACCCACACTGCCCAGAAAACACATGAAAACCCCCTTACCTAGGCCAGGATGCTGCAGCTTGGTTGGAACAGGAGCTGAGACCAGTGGGGCAGAAGAGGACCATGTGAGGCAGACTGTGCACAGGTGTGTATCAGAGGGTGTGAGTGCAGGTGTGCACAAGGCAACTCAGCCTCCAGCGCTGGGGTGGGTGCTGGGGCTCTGCGGTGGGAAGGGGGTCCTCGCCCCTGCTACCTATTAGCTAGTCTTCAGCATCTTTGTTTCCTTGGCCAGTATTTACCTCTGCCCCACAGAGAAAATGCCACCACCTTTGGTGACCAGTGCAGGAGGGAAGCCTGGAGGGAAGCCTGGTGACCTGTGGGGTGTCTGCACTGTGGCTGCAGGTCCTCAGGGAGGACGATTAAGGTGAGGGTAAGACCAGGGCAGATCCACGTTTCCCGGCCTGGGTCTCATTAGGGCATTGGCATTGTGGCCTGGTCTGCCTGCAACCCCCCACCTCAATCAGAGCACCCTGTGAGCAAACATCCTGGATCTGGGCCCTCAGTGTACCCCTACACACAGCTGGTGCTGACTGAACTGAACAGAGGAGCTGAAGAAACACAGGAGACACGGGGTAACTGGTGGGTTTGAACTGCTGATCTTGTGAGCAGCCCGGTGCTTACCCTACAGCGCCACCAGGGCTCCTATGGTCTTATATTACTGCTGTTGTCAAGTGTTGTTGAGTCAGTTCTGACTCACAGCAACCCTATATAGGGTTTCCGAGGAATGGAAGTGGTAAATTTGAACCACTGACCTTGCAGTTCAAACCAACCTTATGGTCTCATGTTTATCCTACAGCGCCACACCAGGACTCCATGGTCTTATATGGTGATAGTGTGCCGTGGAGTCGGTTCAGACTCACAGCGACCCTGTACAGGGTTTCTGAGGCTGTAAATCTTTACGGGAGCAGAAAGCCTCCTCTTTCTCCCACACAACAGCTGGTAGTTTCGAACTGCTGACCTTGAGGTTAGCAGCCCGATTTATAACCACTATGCAACCAGAGCTCCTTATGGTCTTATATAGAGAAGAGGAATTTTGAAATCAGAAATATGCATCTCTTTAAAAAGCAAATCAGCTTAGCTAAAAGGAAATGGATTCAAAACCATGAGCCTTGCAGTGTTTTGTTAGGCATCCTCAAGGCACCTTGTGCAGTGTGAAGCGAGAAGGGCTCCATGTATAGATCTGTTTTCCATGACTTTACTCACACAACTTGCAGATTTCTGTATCTGTATGTATGAAGGTCACTGTCAGTTTTTGACACTAGCTAGGGTGGGCAATGTCAATTTCTACATTGATTCTTGATTATTGCGGAAATATTTTTAATCTCTCATACTGTATTTTTACATAATTAATGTACTGATTATAAGGTTTTTTGCAAACTGTGTAATCCTCTGGCTCATTATATGCATGTATTTATTATTTATGCGGAGTCCTGGTGTGGCGCTATGCGTTAATGTGCTGGACTGTAAGGTTGGTTTGAACCTCTAAGTTGGTGGTTCAAGCTCACCAGCCTCTCCTCAGAAACCCTATACAGGGGTCACTATGGGTCGGAACTGACTTGATGGCACTTAACAACACTATTTATTCAGCATGTGATAATGCAAAACATATATAAACCTTCTGAGTTTTAATTAAAAAAAATAAAGATTTCCCTACTTTTTTTGTTTTTCACAAACTGTAAGAACACGGAGCAGCTTTTCATTGTTGAGAGGGCAGGTCTAATTCACAGTTTCACAATAAGCCAGGATCAAATAGCAAGTGCATCTGACAACTCCCAAGTCTCAACACAGCCCTGGGCCACCGAGACCCATGTGAGGACAGGGAGTCCCCTCCAGCACAGGAAAGCCCGGAGGAGAACCAAGGAGCAAGGGGTGTGAAGAGGAGGTAGTGAGACTGAATGGAGTCCATTCATTTGGAGCTAAGCTGGACGGTAAACCCAAGATTAAACACATGGCAACGACAGCTTCAACACGAGAAACAAAACACGTTGGGAGCTAGTGAATCCCCCACCACTGAAAGTGGGCACCGTGTTAAAATGGAAAAGGTTGGTGGCTGTGTGCCTCGGTAAAGATGACAGCTTAGAGACCCTATGAGGAAGTTCTACTCTGCTGTATGGTCATGATGAGTCAAAGCTTGACAGAAGTGGGTTTGGGTTTGGGTTTTGGAGGTACGTCAGCAGAAGCTACATGCTTCAGCCCTTGGGGAGAACGAGGAAGGAGGAGCTTGGAGGAATTCTGGGCCCCCACCCCATTCCCACTTCAACCCAAACGCAGTGACGTTCAACCTTAACGTCACTCCAACCATCCACTTTCTTCCTTTTGTATGCTGGACTTCCACAAAGGGCTTAGTTTGCAGGGAAACGTACGATTCATAAAAACAAGTCTGAGCACCCAGGTGGAAGGCACGTGGCGCTGACCACTCACCGTACTGCCTGTGGTTGCTGAAGTCGAGCTCCAGGGATGGCTCACAGAGGGTGTCATCTGAATTAGAGCCTACGGTGAAAACAGCTGATGAGAAGGGGTTTAGGAACATCCGCTCTGAACTGTGTGGAATGCTTCGGGAACTGCCACCCTTAACTTGGGCTGGGTCAGCTCTATTGCTCTGATCCCATCTGATTTAACTTTCAGTCACACTTATGCAATTCACATTGGGTCTTGGTCTCTGTTTGGTAGAAGTTCTCAGATACCTCAGGATCCTAGGCTCCTCTCCACAGGCTTCACACCTGGCAAGATCTGACTTAGTTATCCTTTTGGGACTCTCTTGGGCTAATCAGATTCCTCAAAGGATATTTCCATCATGGTGTGGCGCCATAAGGTAAGCAATGTACTGCTAACCTCAAGGTCGGCGGTTCAAACCCACCAGCCGTCCTCTGAAATCCTATACAGGTTGCTGTGAGTCAGAACTGACTCCAGTGTACTTAACAACAATGACAACTAGAGGTGAAGAGGAATTGAGACACATGGATGAAGTCAGAATTACACCTCAATATCAAGAAAGTAAAAATCATCATAATTGGACCCATAGGCAACATCATAATAAACATCCATCGTCATGAGAAACACACATCATCATGATAAACACACGTCGTCATAACAAACATCCGTCCTCATGATAAACATCCATCATCATCATAAATGTAGGTACGGCTGCAGTTGTCAAGGCTTTCATTTTACTTGGATCCATAATCAGTGCCCGTGAAAGCAGCAAGGAAGAAATCAAATGACGCATTGCACCGGGCAAATCGGCTGCCCAAGTATTCAAGAGCAAAGATGGCACTTTGAGGACTAAGATGCCATGGTAGTTTCAATTGTCACATATGCATGTGAAAGCTAGACAGTGGATCAGGAAGCCCAGGGAAGAATTGGTGCATCGGAATGATGGCGGCACAGAATACTGAATATATTATGGACTACCCTAAGAACAAACAAATCTTGTCTGGAAGAAGTACAGTCAGAATGCTCCTTGGAAGCCAGGATGGTGAGACTTCATTTCACGTACTCTGGACATGGTATCGGGAGGGACCAGGCCTGGAGAACATTGTGCTTGGTACAGTGGAGGGTTAGCAAAACCCTCAAAGCAATGAACAGTGGCCGCAACAGTGGGCTCAAACATGGCAACATTTGTGTGGCTTGAATAGGATTGGGCAGTGTTTCGTTCTATTATACACAGGGTTGCTATGAGGTGGTGGAACCAACTCAACAGCATTTATCAACAGCTAGAGGTGTGAACCTGGTTACTAGCCTCCTGGGAAACACCTGATGAAGAGACAGGTGGGTGCAGGGAAGGGTGAATGTGCCAACATCCAGTCTGCAAATCTCCAGTAAACCCCCTTGTGCCTTGTATGATTCACCACTCTCACCTGTGTCTAAGACCCCCTGTCAGGGACCCCTCTAGGTTTCTAACAAGGTGGGTGGGGGCAACTGCCTGGCTTCAGCTCAAACTCTGGTTCTCAGCCCTACTGTCCCCTCCTTCTGGAGCTACATGATCCCAGCCATTCCTGAAGGTGGTGGTGGTGGTGGGTGCTCAGGGTTTCTCCACTACCAGCAAGGACTGGGCCTCTGCATGGTTCATTTATTGCTCAAAGTCTCACAGGTGGGAGTAGAGCTGAGATTTGAACTCGTGTGGGTGATGCCAGAACTGGTCCAAAGTTTAACTACTCTGCTCTTCACCTCTTAGTCTTGGAGAGATACCCCTTCTATCTCTGACAGTCTGGAGTCTCTAGGAAGAACCCCACGACTCACCCTTGGTGCGGCCTGGGTGCCGGGCAATGGGGGTGGAGCTGGAAGGGGTTGTTGCGATGGTTGAGGCTGCAGATGTCCGGGTGTCCAGCTCCGCAGGCCAGGACTTCAGGGCCGGGTCGGTGGAGGTATCTGCGCGGTCCAGGCTGCCTCCATGTGGGGACCCCCGCTTTGGTTTTGGATCCCTGGGGCCTGGACCAGAAAGGACATGGAGAAGTGAAGTTGCAAGATCCTGTGCCTGGGGGATGGGCCCAAGGCTCAGAAGTAGGAGCAGAAAGACACACAGACCACGGACAGAAGCTGAGGTTTCAACAGGAGGGGGCTGGTGTTGGGAGCCCCCACGAGGATGGCCCTTCAGCTAACGATGGGGTCATAGTGTGAGAGGGGATAAAAGGGAACTCTAGGAAGTCTGAAACTCAACCCGTGCTTTAAGACGCTCCTAAAACCATGACTGAAGATTCTGATAAAAAAAAATCCAGAGAAGAATCCTGACCACAAGTGGGGAAAAGTGGAACAGAATTTCAAATTCTCACAGACTTTGTGTAGTGGTGGAGGTTGGACGGGTACCTGAACCCACTGCCCTTAGATCATCATTGCAGCTCCTGAAGTCTTTGTGAAACCAGACTGCAATGCTGTAGCTTGATTAGTAAAGAAGGTGTGTCTTGGGCATTGAGCTCTGTAAGTTCTTTCTCTCTGGGATCAAAGTGCTGCAGTAACTCACATGATGAGATTGGAACTCAGGACAGTACGTTTATGTTCTGGGAGAGGAATAATTCAGAAAAAGGGGGGGGAGAATGGCTGCTCAATTTGAAGAATGGTATCATCGCAGAATTGTACACGTAGAAATAGTTGAATTGGTATATGATCTTATTGTTGTTGTTACATGCCGTGGAGTCGGTTCCGACCCATAGTGACCCTGTTTCCAAGGCTGTAAATCTTTACGGGAGCAGAAAGCCTCATCTTTCTCCCATGGAACAGCTGGTAGTTTGGAACTGCTGACCTTGAGATTAGCAGCCCGATTCGTAACCGCTACGCTACCAGAGCTCCTTATATGTTCTTAATAACAACAATGTAAAAACTACAGAGAAAACAAAAAGCGAGGGAAAATTTCTAACAGGCCTGCTTGGTGTACCATGCTGTAACTTTGCCTGTAGTTGGGCAGACCTAGGATGTGGGTCCTGCCAACTGGCTTCACTTATGATTTGGAAGAAGAAAAAAAAATCACGTTTATTGCCAACCTAACAATGTTTTTTTAAAAAACAAAATCCACAGTGTCTGCACAGTCAGACTGAATGCAGAATGATTTTGGGCTTTTCTGCAGCCTCTACATTTTCTATCATAAACATTCACTTTCAGCAAAATGAAATAAAATGGTATTAGAAAATAAAACAAAACCTCAGCTGCCCAGTAGGAAAGGGAACAGGTCCTACAATATTAAAGATGACCATTCTTCCGCTCCCAACAGCTGACCAGGCCTTTTGCAAAATGCCTCATCCCAGGGGTCCAGAGGGCCTGGGAAAGACACATGGAAACCTAGGCCTGTGACCCACTCTTCTGCAGACTGACCACGTCTGCTGGGCTCACTGTATTTTGAGTGCCCACATCGTGCAATTTGAAATGAAGGGAAAATCTGAACTTTGATGAGAAGCAGGATTTCAGTCTGGAGGAGCAAATGGGAACAGATGATCTGATGGATAAGGTTAGAATGGGGACTGAGTGGAGGAGGGGGAGACGAGATGAGTGGACGGTGAGCAGAACGGTGGGGAAGCGGCGTGAGATCAGACAGCAGGCTGGGAACACGGAGGCCACCCAGGGCACCTTAGTCAACATGAGCATTTCAGCTGTTGCCAAGTGTCGTCCTGTCAGTTCCGACTCATAGTGACTCTGTATTGGGTTTCCCAGGCGTAAATCTTTGAGGGAACAACAGAAATCCTCATCTTTCCCCCATGGAGCGGCCGGCAGGCATGAATCTTGGACTTTGTGGTTTGCAGTCCAGTGCTTATTGTATGAAGCCACTGCGCTCCCAAGCATTTCAGTAGTTAGACGTTTATTTCATGGTTACCGTGTTTCTATGAAAGGACCTGATGGTGCTGTAGGATAAGCACAGGACCTCAAGGTCAGCAGTTCAAACCCACTAGCCGCTCCCCCTAAAGAAAGACGAGGCTGTCTGCTCCTGTAAAGGTGGACAGTCTCTGAAACCCTACATGGGGTCAATGAGTCGGAATCAACTCAATGGCAGCCAGGACCAGTTGATTCCAACTCATGGTGATCCCAGGTGTACCCCAGGTGTGTCAGAGTGGAACTGGGCTCCACAGGGGCTGACATTTCAGAAGGAGATCAACAGGGCTTTCTCCTGAGGTGCCCGTGGCTGGGTATGAACCTCCAACCTTTCGTCAGGAGCTGAGTGAGCGTGTTAATCATGTGCTCCACCCAGGGGCACCTGTCCCACTGAGAACACCTTTCATTTGAAAACAAACATACTTGGAAACTGAGTCGATTTAAGATCGGTGTATATACAATCAGACAGGTGGCATGGAGGTTTGGCAGGAAGCATGCAGGTGATACCAGAAAGGCTTGAGGTGGGAGAGACAGCTAGCTAAAGGCCTCTGCTGCCAGCATGCTGGCGTCCATCTGTCCACTACGGCATTCCTGTCAGCATCCACGTGTCAGACAACGACAGCACTGTCCTAACTCTGTATCGGGCCTGGCCTCTGGCACAGCATCAGTCATCCAATTTTCCACAAGACCTGAACAGAGAGCCAGCAATTCTGCAGCACACAGAACACAGCTCAAGCCAGCAGTTCAGTGTTCTGACAGAGACAGGGAAGAAGGGGACGGAGACAGAGGCTTGAGCTGCTGCTGAAAAATCCTCACTTGGCTGAGGTTGCAAAGTTCAGAAAGCGGAGAAGGCGACCTCTGACTGGGCCGCCGTACACGTGGGCACGACAGAAGCCTGCAGGCACAAGCGTGCACACAGAAGCACACGGAGCCACCACTTACTGCATGTGGACATCCTAGCCCACGCGTGTCCCAGGGCTCCCTAAAACTGTGCCGCACTGAAGAACGGTCCAGAGAGTGTGACAACTCATCTTCTACTTTGAACTCAGAATCCACGCAGGCTACTTTGGGCTCGGCTTGGAATTGGGGTTGGGAGAGGGGTCCACTGTCCACTATAGGTCATGCAGCCTTTAGGTACTGTTTTGTGCTTTGTTTTGTTTTTGTTTTTTTAATTTTAGAAATGAAGGAGGATATGTGGAGAAGACACATGATACAGGAAAGGATTAGAAGTCTCCAATGTCTGAGAAAGAAAGGGGCTCATGAGGGGAGGGGGGGATGTCGGAGGAAGACCAGAACCGCAGGCGTTTAGAGAGAGCTGGGTGGGCCGTGGGAGACTTGTCTTTGTCCTTGCTTTTGCTTCTCAAAAAGGGACTCTTTTTGTGCTGAGATGCTAAGGTGTTATCACCCGGATAACCCAAGGGAGGAAAAGAAAGAAAAAAAACAAAAGGCAAATAAATGAAATATACAAATAACAAATGACCCTAAATCAGCTAAACGGATTCTGGAAGTCAGAGTCTTATGTAACCTTGGAAAGATATGAAATGACACCCAGTACACTCGGGCTCCAATCAGAACTCAGTGAATCATTTATGAGCGACCTCGATTAATTATCTTAGTGGCATTTTAAAGCCAATGATTTACTTACTCAGCACGTGAGGAGAATTACTGATTGTCCAAGGAGCCAATGGACTGGGCTATTTTTCATTTCCAGCGTGTTAAATTATTAAAGAAGAATGTGGATTAATTTAGGGCCCGCTTTTCTTACTCTTAGCGACAGGAATCAGTCATTAAAATAGACGAGTACCGACTCCCATTCAAAGGCCTTGGAGACACTTCATGCTAGGTTTCCAGCCACCATCATGAAACAGCCTACCTGAAGCATTCACGAATAATTTCTGTATCATGGCAGGACGCGTTCTGAAAAACTGACTGAAATACTACTTTTCCTCAACACCAAACAGAACCATAATTTCCTTTTAGATCTCTGAGGCATCGCCACCCTAATCCCACACTCCTTGGTGTTTAAATGATAAGAGTCTTATCAAAGCAGACAATTTATCTTTCCTATTATGCCTCACATGAAATGATTCAATGGATTTCTGACTCCTGGGATTAAAGATGATGTCAAAAAAGCAAACATCCAAACCCAACGCTGTCAAGTTGACTCTGACTCATGATGATCCTATAAGACAAGCAAACATGCTACCAAGACTGTAATCTTTACAGTAGCAGATTGCCACATCTTCCTCCTGCAAAGTGGCTGCTGGGTTCAAACAGCTAACCTCTGGGCCAGCAGCTGAGCGCTTAATCACTGTACCACTGGAGTTCCTTAAAGAGGAGTCCAGAACCTGCTATTTCTTCTCCCACAGCACCACCTGGTGGCCAGGGCTCACTCCACATAATGTGAAAACCCACTGCTACCAAGTCAATCAGAGTCCTGGTGTGGCACTGTGGGTAAACGCACTGGATGTAAGGTCGGTTTGAACCGCAAGGCTGGCTGTTCAAACCCATCAGCTGCTCCTTGGAAACCCTATACAGGGTCACTATGGGTCAGAAGTGACTCTATGACGTTTAACAACAACATATATAATGACGAGGTTTTGTCAACTTGACTTGGCCAGGATTTCCAGAGGTTTAGCAGTTGGTATGTTCATATTCCCATGGTGATGAAACCTAACACAGACACAGTTATCTCTATGATGAGTGGCTGTGAGAAGCCAATCAACTGAAAGGATGTTTCCTTGGGGGTGTGGCCTGCTCCCAATGTAATGAATATGAGGGAGGGACTCTGAATTATAAAACCGTTTCCTTGATAAACTTCTCTTTATATATACATATATATATACACACACATACATACATTTCAATGGTTTTGCTTCTCTAGAAAACCCAGCCTAAGACACTGTCAAAAAAATTAAACCATAGGCAACAGAAGCACTCTTGTTAAGTGCCGTCCCATAGCGACCTTGGGCAGGGTTTCTGAGGAGCAGCTGACCTTGCCGTCTAGTGCATTATCCTGAAGCACCACAGCAGAACTGCTCTAGAGGGAAGCAAGTGCTCGGGTTCATTATCCGTGACCTCCATGAACCTTTCATCTAAGCTTACGTTCCTGTGAAGGGTGGGAACATGAGTCTTTGTCCCCAGTCCATGTGTACACCCACAGATTCTGTTCTGCATTTGAAAGTGGCATAACAGGTACTTGTACTGCCACCCCCAAAAGACTCATGTCCTACTCAGAAGGCAAGCTGGCACTGACTTGGGGACAGGCCTGACCATCAGAAGGTCCTGGGTCCTTTACGAGGACGTAACTACTTACAATATAGGCAAGCATAATCCAGGACTAGTATTTCAAAGCAAATCTGCAAAGTAGATGACGTTTAGGGTAACTACTGTGTCTAATCAATCTCACAATGCATATTCCTGTCCAATTCTTGATGTCTCTGAAATTAGAACGCCTCTTGGAGCCAATGGTGCGTCACAGTCAGCCCTGGCCCAGTGGCTCTGTGACAACACCCCAACTCATTTTGCTCACATTTCCCTTTAATGAGCATGCACAAAAAAAACTGCCCAATTCAGGCGTTTCGAAGAGCTCTTTAAACAAGAATATCTGAGAAGTTCTACGTGAGAAAGCAGTGCCTCAGTGTTTCCTCCCGGTGAGATATAAATAACTGGGCATCTTGTCATCGACAGCCACTTAGGCAAGATGAAATACGGCATCATTTAATGAGACACTGGGCTCCTGTTTCAGCCTCTGACCAACCCCAAACAAGAGCTCCAAGTGAAAGGTAAACTGCTCAGGGCTGGTAGGACACCAGGCCAGACCAGGAGGGAGGAGAAAACCTAACCTTCCTTTCAAAGCAGTGCAAAAGCAGAAGGACCTGAGGACTTCCTGAAGATCTTCTATACACAGAGCACACTTACAACACGCCTGGACCACACACACAGCCCTGTCCTCGTCTCTAAGGTGCCCGTGTGACATTCGCTTTGGACACTATCTACACCACTAATGAGGCTGCTCTTCGGAAATAATTAAGCGGTTACAGAAAAAATGGCCACAACACTGACTTCTATTCATTGACTAATAGGAGGCACACTCCTCCACATCCCTCCATGGAGCTGTGGAGGTGGTGGTGCTGTTACGTGTTGTTGAGTCGGTTCTAACCCATAGGCATCCTGTAGAGGGTTTCCAAGGAGCAGCGGGTGAGCTTGAACCACCAACCTTACTGTTCAAAACCAATTATGCAGTCCAGTGCATTAAGCCACAGCGTCAAACCAGGACTCCATGTAGCTATAGACACACGCAAACACAATCCCCCCTGACATTGCACACATACTCACACACCCTCCACAATTATGTACACACATACACACACAATGCCTCCATGTTCCCTACATTCCTGCACACACGTATACACATCCCCAATGCTCCCATACTCGATGATACACACACCCAAGCTACCACATACAAGACCCCTACCTTCCCACACACACATGTATATATACCCCCACTCACAAAAACACCCTCTGTGTTCCCACACATACGTACACACCCCACACAAATATACCCTCCACATTCCTACACACACATGTATAACCCCCACACACATACACCCTCTATATTCCCACACACATGTACGTACACCTCCACACTCCCACATACACCCTTCATGTTCCCACACACAGAGGTATATATACCCCACGCTCACACATGTACACTCTGTTTTCACACACATGCTCACACACCTCCATGCTCCCCCACACACATGTATATACATCCCCATGCTCTCACACACACACACGTGCACAAGGGCTATCTCACTACTGTCATCAGGAACGGATCATTTAGAACCCCCTCTGCTCCCCCACGGCATCCAGGTCACCCACACTCTACCTTTTCCCATAGGCCCATTGGAGGCGTCTCGCTCTTCAACACAGTTTGGCCCCAACGGGACGGTCTCCAGGGCCTCCGGCTGCGGTCTGAGAGGCTGCGAAACGGATGGCGAGGTGGGGTCTGGGGACTCGGGTTGCCAGGACGGGCTGTCTGGGGTGGACTTTAGCCGCTCCCTAGAGCCCTCTTTCTTTGGTTTGATGAGTCTGACTAAGGCTTTGGCTCCAATCCAGTGGTTTTTCCTAGATAGGAAGAGATTTTTTAGGATGACACATGGGCCATCACACACTCCTTGGCAGGTCACTGGGTACCCCAGTGTGCGCTGGGGTTTCCAGCCTTAGCCTGGGGAATCTAGCCATTCACTGGGCCTCAGACATTTTGACACTCGGCAATCTAAATACGAGCATCGTATTTGGTGCTCTGGAGATGGAACGTCATTGTAGGTTCAGCACGAGCCAAGGGTGGCAGAGGGGGCACTGAAGCAGAAACTGGTCTGTCAAAAAAAGAGAACTTGACTCCTGCTTACCTGCCCAGCAAAGGCAGCGGTGCTGTGCTAACCTAGTTGTCAATTTCTCTGTCAAAATGCTCCACTGTCCAAAGCAGATTCAAGGGCCTTCTCACTCTGCTGACGTTCCTAAGTAAAGGGAGCTGGATGAGGGGGCAGAGGGCCCAGGGGAGCAGGTTCAGGCCAATGAAATTGGGAATCTAGAGAGGAAGCGGTTGAGCTGCCCACCGGGGAGAGGAAGGTGTGTGGCTGAACTGAAGCAGAATTATGCCTGGGTCACAATCCTGACACAAAGCTCTCCCCTTTCTGGGGCCTCAATTCTATATCTGTCAAACAGGTGAACGTTCAGCAGTTCTTAGGTTCTGCGGTTTCAGTGGAGACCTGAGGGTTTAGTATGGTTCTGATCTGAGGCAGACACTGGTCTCAGGGCCTGGGACTGGGGGAGGAGGCCCTGGTGACCAGATGAGTCTGTAGGGACCTAGCCGCCACTACCACAAGTCCAGTGAGTCCAGAGGAATTCACCTAAGGCCTGAGGGGGCTCAGGTACACCTCCATCCAATCTCACTCCCCAAACAGGAACCTGGTGGTCTATGTCATGGCAAAATCCTGACAAGTCCGCCCCTCCATTCTGCTTTAATGACCACCAAGACAGTGCTACCCAAGGGCCAAACATAAGGTTGGTCTCATTAAGGTCAGCTTGCATTGGCCATCCCTCCCCAGGACTAGCTGGAGCATGGAGGACAGGTTGAGAGGACATCTGGGCTGCAGCAGGGACATGCACATAGGAGACACTGCAGACAGTGGACAGCAAGGGGCTACTGAGGCACTGACTGCTAGGGGGCGGGGGGACACAGGTCACCACACCCACATCAGAGGAAGCATGACTGTTCAGTGTTAAGGCCATCCAAACATAAGTCTACTTACTTCTTTGGAGCAGGATCATAGAACTTGTACTGATCCATGATTTTTTCTTCCAATTTTTCCTTATGTCTCCGTAAGGCGTTTAATTTGTCTCTAAGCATAGAGGAGAAAAGAAAAGAAAAAATCACAATTCAATCCAATTTTAAATAAAGTGCAGTAAGGGGCTAGCCTTGTGAATCGACTGATCAGCCCAATGGGAGAGTCTGGCATTGTGGTGGTCTTGGCCATCACTGTCATTGAGTTGGGAAGATGTGAACAGGTGCATCTGAGACGATCTCAAGAAAGCCCAGTCACCTTGCGCACATGTTATTTACTAAAGTGCCTAAGATCTAGCTCAGTGTGAGCTTGTGGGGTCTAACCTCAAACCATCTGAAAACTCAAACTCGGAAGCCCAAGAACCTTCCAACCTGGTCATTCAAAGTGTTGGCTGCTGGACTCAGGCATGTTAACAGAAGCCTGGGTGTAGTGAACTGTGGGTGGGCACTGAAACTAAAAAAGTCAGTTCAGGGGGTGGAAACTGACACATTGTGAGGACTGCAGACAATGTCAAGGAACTTCTGTTGATTGGGAATCTATTACGTCAATGGAGAAGCAGAATTTTACTTGTAGATTCCATAAAATTTGTACCATTTTCTAATTAAGAGGGAAAAAGTCAAAACTTCTGGCTTGGGGCTGTTCTGATACTGGATTTTTGATAACACTCCTCAAACACTTTTGGAGGACAGGCAAAGACAGTGAGTGGAGCGGGCCTGGGAGAGAAGAGGGCGTGGTGGGGACTGCAGAGAACCAGAGCTGTGTGCTGCCAACTCTGGCAGATCTCTGTGCCATGGGGATGCGGTCTGAGGAGTCAGAGCTCCCTTTTTTTTTTTTTTTTCCCAGAAAAGCAAGAAACCTAGGGTATGAAGTCAAGATTCCTGAAGCATGTTCACATACAGAGCTAGAAACCCTAGGGCACCTCTGATTTTCCAGGGGAGATCCTGGCCTTCCTGATCCAAAGGGAATGCATTTGGTCCATTTTATCTTAGGGCATCACTAGGGCTGTGTACGCAGGCACACACTACACAACGCTGCCCTCAGGACTCCTGGCCAGGCCCACCTCTCATCACCCGTAACGTCCTGGCAACTCGGACCCCTGACTTCATTTAAAAAATGAGGGCTCAGCACACAGTTGTGAACGTTTCCTGCTTAGGAAGGGAGTGTTCTGTGCAAAGTGACAGCTTCAAGAACTGCTTGCAGGCTGAGCAGCTGGACATCTGAGTCTGACTATGTGGTCCCGTGCTCAGACGCTTTCTGACTGCCTGCAGACAGCACACAGATTTACAGTAGAAAGCTTGCCACCTACTGGCCAGGTGCATAACTCTGATGCACATGGGTACCAGGCTCCTCCTCCTAGCCAGCGCTGCCCCATCTCTGCTGGCAAACTTCAGACGGATCACAGTGGCCAGTTTCGGGCAACTGTCATGTTTACCCCCAAATGACAACATGGTTATAAAGAGAAATCATTCTCTGGCAGGAAGAGCAATGAAGAAGCATCATCATTTCAGAGAGCCTGGGGAGTGGACTGGTGTTCCCTGTGACCAGAAGCCTGCACAGTGTGTTTCTACGTCCATTGTTCACACTCACCACCAACACTCTGGTCTCCTATTTCCAGTGTCAACCACGACTGCACATGGCGGTGAAACTCACACTGGATTTTGAATTTGTTGCATCACTGGTTTCCATGACGAGAGCTCTTCCCCAGCTTTCGTTTCTGGCAACTTCCTCAGTCCTGCTACACTAGCCACTGAGTTGCCATTGAGTCAGTTTTAACTCATGAATGTCTCATGTGTGTCAGAGCAGAACTGTGCTCCGTTGGGTTTTCAATGGCCAATCTTTCACAAGTAGACCTCCAAGCCTTTCCCGTCTGAGGTGTCTCTGGGTAGGCTCAAACCTCCAACCTTTCAGTTAACAGCTGAGCATGTTAACTGTTTCCGCCACCCGGGACTCCACTACACCATACTACATCACTGTGAACCTTCCGACGGATCCAAAGCCTTCAGTCTGGAACAGATGCTCCCTCTCCAGCCTTCTCCCCTGGTCTCCTCACAGTCCTGGCATCCAGTCACCTGCCACATCCCACCTCAGCAGCAGAACCCTAACTCCCACTACGCTTCCTTCCATGCTTCTCTGTAGCTCACGGTCATACATCTGCTCACATCGTCCTACTAGGCCTGATGTACCACAAACACCGGCTGAGTGAGAGCAAGTGGAAGACCCAGCAACTCACTCTCTGTTGACAACCCAGGGGGAACAGGAACCAACAAGGAAAGGACAGCTTTATGGCCATATCTGTGCTTGAATTGCCGCCCTGAGAGACCCTCATCAGCACTGTTGTAATTTTAGAAGTTCATTTAACTCCCAAAGCAACAAAGCCCAGAAGCTTTTGGTGGTGGACTGTGAGAAGCAAATGAGCTACCAAGTCCGTTTCCAGAATCCTAGAACCATCCAGGAAAACCAAGGGAGCCTGGTTGGTCAGTCCCTTGGTGTGGACCGGCATCACCACCCATCCACCTTACATGTACTGCTTCTGCTCCTCGTGGTACTGCTCTTTGTTCTCCATGTTCTGCTCCAGAAGCATCTGGTTCTGTTGGCTCAACAGCTGGATCTGGCTCAAGAGGTGATGGTTTTCTTCCTCCAAGTTTCCCTTGAGACGGGAGAGCAGCTGCAACAGACCAACAACGCCTCAGAAACCATGGTACCCCTGCTAGAAATCTATCTCAGCGTCTCCTACACTAGTGAAGACAAGGAAAGGGCCAACACAGCCAATGGGATAGGAATGGCTGAGCTCTCTCTACACCGGCGGGTTCCAATATGGCGGACACGACAACATGTGACCACTGAGCGCTTACAATGCAGCTGGTCCACACTGAGAGGGGCTGCAAATAATACCATACACTGCTGACCTTTCAACAGTGCAAGGGTTAGGGGCACCCATCTCCTACACAGTCGAAAATCTGCATATAACTTGCAATTAGCCCTCGAACAACAGGTTTGAGCCGCATGGGTGGGCCCACTTGTACATGGATTCCTTTTCCTGTTACCACTGCGATGAGCCTAAGTGTCGTGAACATCCACTTAAAGCTTCGCAGGATTCTAACCATCTCCGTGTAAGCACTCCAGCTCTCCAGATTGTTGGGATGGAGCGGGAGGGGCTAGCGGTTAGTGGTATGTAAATCCCTCACAAATGAGTTATTTACTGCCTATGTGTTGAAATGATATTTTAGATATCATGTTTAAATAAAAACATTACAATTGACTATATCCATTTCTTTCTATATCTTAAACACAGCGACTAGAAAAGCTCACACTATGTGTGGTTCCCATATGTTTCTACTGGGGAGGCTTGGGACACTTCTTCTACAAAGAGCCAGAAAGAGTACATATTTTCGGCTTTCCAGGCTAAACAGTAGTTTCTGCAGCCAGCACTCAACACTGTCATTGTGGCTCAAAAGTGGCCACAGACATGCTGACAATCGGGCGTGGGGGCATTCCAATACGACTGTGTGTGTGGACACTGGCTAATGGCTCTCACGTCATTGTCTCATGACACAAAGCAGGATGCATTTGATTTTTGTATCCCAATCCTCAAGACCACTTTTAGTTTGCACAGCACAGAAATGGGCGGTGGATCAGGAAGGACGTGGGATAAGGGGTATTCCACTGTGGGGAACACAACCAGTAAGAGGAAACACAATGTGTGTGGATTGTTGAATGGAATAGTGATGATCTGTTCTGGAAACCTTCACCCAATTCACACAAGTTTTTTTTTTGTGTGTGTGTGTGTGTGTGTTTTTCAAAAATGATCTTTAAAACAAACAGATGAACAAGTGGAGAACTGGATTTGGCTCGAGGGCTGAATTTTGCCAACTCTTGCTGCAGCTGAATATTCCCAAGGAGCATTAGGCAAATCACAGGTTCTGGATTCAGAAAGGCTGGGTTCAAACCCCCAACTAGGAATGAGGATCAGTGTGAGGACAGGCATGCCGATGAGAGGATTCAGTAACAGAGAAACACCCTCAGCAAGATGCCTGGTGCACAAAGGGGGAAACCGAGGCTGTCCCCTCCTCTTCAGCCTGTTAACAGCGATAATTTTCATTCTGTTTTTAAGAGAAAAAGCAAAATTCTGTGTAGCCGGAAGAGAATAAGGTACAATTGGTGCATAAAGAGAATGGGAAAGGAAAAGTGGGTGAACTATGAGTGATTCTTCTTTTCAATAAGAACGCTTCCAACGCTGGTGTGGGTCTATTGTTTTGGGTGATGAGGTACTTGGAAGTCAGTCAATGAGAAGTCTGACAAGTCAGCTGTCTGCACAATAAAACCACCCTTGGAAACTCGACTCTGACAGTCAAGTGGCCCCGAGCATGGCCACAGGTGCTAGGGGGCCAGCAGCCCTGGGTCCCTCATTGGCCTTGAGATCCCCGCAGAACCTTGGTAATGATGATGAGGCGGGCAGCTGCTCTTCCGCCCCATTAAACCCTGGCACGCTGGGCAACACACAGATCCACTCTGTGACACATGGGTGTCCCTGAAAGGGGTGGAGGTGGCCCTCCTTAACGCCAAGCCTCCGCCTGCGGGGGAGAGCTGGTTCCTGCTAGACTTGGAAGTTTCCTTGGCCCCTGACCCACCGTCCCCGCCACAGACCCTTTCCCCTTCTCACGACCTTAACTGCAACCACTAAATCATCAATGATCTCTAAAACATCCTGTCCCATTTTTGCTCAAGCCAACCCTTGCCCTGAAACAGCCTTCCATCTCTGTGCTTTTGCCTCAGACTTCCAAGCCCCCGCCTCCAACGCTGGGCCCACGGGTCTCTAGCCACAGGAGGTAGCCACGAGATCTGGCTGAGTACCTACAGGCAAGACAGCTCAAATCCCCCATCGGTGAGGTCCTACGGCTTCTGTGAGAACCAGAGGACAAAGGTGTCTGAGACACACACAAAGCAAACACCAAGTGTGTCCTGGGGGCTGCCTTAGAGGTGGAGAGAGGCTCTGTTACCCTTCCTGCCTTAACTGCACCGGCTGGGGTTCTGCTCCAAATTCCACCTGAAGGAGAAGTGCTGCTGCTGAAGCGCCTACCACTGGATGCACATCTGGGACAGCACTGCCCCTTTAGAAACTGGGGGGCTCTGGGACCAGTTCTAGACCCACCCCCTCGGAACCCTGAGCAGAATTGGCCATTCTCAGGAAGGTCCCTAGACCTTCACAGCTCCCAAGATTTGAAGCAATAGACAACGTAAGATACAGTGAGAGAACTGAGCTCATAGTTCCCGATGTCCTCCCAGCGTCTCCCTCCACCCTGCAAAAAGGAAAAGCCAGACTAGCACATTCCCATCAAACACCTCTGAGGCACCCCCCCACGCTCAGCCTCACAAGGCACGGCTCCAGCGAGGGCCAGAGGCCGTCACAGCTGCCCCTCACCTCGCAGTGGTTGTCCCGCTTGGTCAGTGAGATGTCCAAAGTCTGGTGCTGTTCCTTGAGCTCATCGAAGCGGGCCTGCCAGCGGTTCAGTTCCAGCTGTGAGTTGTTGAGTGAGGTTTTCAGCTCCTTGGTGTGAGAGTGCAGCTCTTCATACTCCTGCGTCAGCTGGTGGTGTAAGAAGCTGACTCTATAGGGAACCATGGGATAGGGAGTCAGGGTGGCTCCGAAGGGCACAGCCTCGGAAATGGGCTATGCCTCAGCTCTGCTGGCTGAAGGCTGTGTAACCTCAGGTAAAACCTTAACCTCTCAGGGCCTGAGTAACTTCACGTGTCAAACTACGGAGTGGACTAAATTGGTGGTTTAAGAATTGGTTTTTTTTGGAGTCCTGGTGTGTTGCTGTGGGTTAATGCTTTAAACTACAAAAGCTGTTTGAACTGGAAGGTCGGTGGTTCAAGCTCACCAGCTGCTCCTCAGAAACCCCATACAGGGTTGCTATGGGTTGGAACCGGCTCGATGGCACTTAAAAACACCATGAGATACCCTAGAGTCCTGCTAACCACCAGACTCCTAACCACAAAGTCAGTAGTTCAAACTCACCAGTTGTTCCTCGGGAACCCTATAAAAGGTTGCTATGAGTCAATACCAACTTGACATAACAACGAGACACTCCTGGTACCACCAAAGTTGGGGACACACAACAGGCAGGCTCTGAAAACGCTTTAGTGGAGTGTCCCTGCCACCGCTGGTTCTGAGTTTAAGGCTTTGTCATCTCTGCTTACTCGGAAAAAAGGGTTCTGTTGTTAATGGATTTTTAGGGAAAAACATCGGAGTAAAACATTGTTGTTCTAAAATTCTGTCCATGCCCAGATTTTTCCCATTCTTCCTTTCTAATTTCAACGTAGGACATGAATAAAATATGAGATGCCAGGGTATTATGTAAATCTGCTACCATCACTAGCATTGGAATACCCATTTGCCAACAGGGGCTTCTTGGAAAGGGCTCTATACCAGACACTCAAGCCACCAAGGGCTCCTGGATGTAATCTGGGCCTTGTTGGCCTGTGTGGTTTCATTTAAAAAAATTTGCTGCCACCATTGAAAGATTTTGGAAGTCTCTTAACAAGCCCCAGATGTCCAGTTGGTCATCTGACCTGGCAGTCACCCCGGAACCAAGAGCGGCTGCTCTCTGGATGGGGTGGGCTCTCCCTCACGCTCCCTGTGGTCTCCTCTGTGAGTCACCTGCCTGGCCTTAGGTGCCTCAGTGTCTCAGCGTGTAATGATGCTCGTTCACACAGAGCTTCGTATGACTGCCCATTTGGAGCATGACAAGATCTGGGTTCAGGCCCCGACTCTGCCACTAACTAGAAGTAGTGACTTTAATGTTCACGTTACTGACTTCCCAGGAGCCCTTTTCCTCATCTGTGAACAACTAAAAGGCCGCTGCCTGCCAGCAAGTCAATTCCTACTCATGACTGGTGGGTTTGAACCACTGACCTTTCAGTTTGCAGCCTAGTGCCTAACCCACAGCACCACCAGGGAGGGACTGGCGCACTACCACCTCCCAGAGACCACCATGTGCCCATCACAATCCTCGCAAACACACAGGTGGGTGGGGAAGCCACCATACTTAGCCAGTGTGTCCCCAGTATCCTGTGAGTCTGTCCACCTCAGTCACCAGCTAGAGTCACCTAATACCTCCTCACCTATTCAGCTGCCCACAGGAGTCGATTCCGATGCATAATGGCCCCAGGTGACAGGCTACTCTAAATCGTGACGTTTATGGGAGCAGACTGACAGGTCTTTTCTCCTGTGAAGCCGCTGGTGGATGTGAACCTCCAACCTGTCAGCTAGCAGACACGCGCTTCACCTTTGCGCCCCCAGAGCTCCTTCAATCTTCCATTAGTGTTTATTCAGTGAGGTGGGTCTGAACAGAATGTTGGATGCTGCTTCTACACAGGAAGGGCTGTTGGCGTTAGTGTCTACCTGTCCAGCTCCTCCCGCAGCCTCTGGTTCTCGCCCGCTGCCACGGCGTTCGTCCTCTGCTCCTGCTGTAGAGCCTCCCTCTCGGTCTTCAGAACCTTCTCCAGCTCGTCCAACTCTGCCTTGTGTTTCAGCATGTCGCTGTGCCTGGTGGGAGAAACAACATGCCTGGCTCTGCTTCACGGGAAACACACACCACAAGTGACATTAGAGACTCTGGAGAAAACAGGGTTCCTCTGTGACTTCTACAGAATTGAGGGGGGTGCCCAGGGCAGGGGTGCAGGGGCAATACACGAGTGGCTGCTGGAGGTACTGTGGGCACCCAGGCTGGGTCAGGTGGTCCAGATGGACAATTCTGGAAACAATAATCTGGGTTTGACAAATTAGGGTCATGGGTGAACCAAGGTTCCCCAATGCCTAGTTGTTGTGTGCCTCAAGTCAGTTCTATTCACAGCCACAGTACAAGGTTTCCCAGGCAGAAAATCTCTACTACAACAGAGAGCCTCAGCCACCAAAGAGAGGCTGGGGGATTGGAACTGCCCACCCCGTGGTTAACAGCCCAACCATAACCCAGTACCCAACCAGGGTTTTTCAGCTGCTGTTCCCCTGTGATGTTGTAGAAAAATGGCTCTCAAAGCCACTCAACTCCCCAGCTGAAGTGCAGAGCTTTTGGGGAATACTGCTCACCAGACTCCCCAATACAAGGAACCAAAACCAAAAACCAAACCCACTGCTATGGGGTCAATTCTTATTCAGAGTGTCTGCCCCACAGGGTTTCCATAAATCTTTATGGAAGCAGACTGCCACATCTTTCTCCAGCCGCCTGCAGACTGTCGCGTGGGTTCAAACCACTGATCGACTGGCAGCTGAGTGCTTCACTGGGACGGTACTGAGGAAATGTCCCTTAGGGAGCTGGATGTGGGGGCTTGTCCTACACCCCCAAACATGCTGCACTGCTGTGGATAAACCAAAGGTGTTGTCGACCATCGCCCACCCTGCTTGCTGCACCACACAAGGAACGTAGAGAAAGCCACCCCCGCTTCAGAGCTGGTGCAAATGCCCTGCAGGAAATCTTCCCTTGTGTGGCTCTGTCAGGAGTGTGCATTTCAGTGCATGTCATTTTATCCAACAGAGGAGTGAGGAGAAGGGGTGGGGAGTGAGGAGCATTAAGAGGAACCAGGGTATTGATATCTGTGAAAGCTGGGGGGTGGGGTTCACAATTATCATTCTGTCTGCTTTCTACACATCCAAGCTTCCGGAATTCAAGGTTAAACAAAGAAGACTGAGAAGAACCGACAGGCCTGGGAAGCTACTCACACCATTGTGAGATGCTGGTTCAGGGAATCCCCAAGTTGGGCACTTGGAGCCCCTACGGCTGTGGGGTTTCCAGTTGCACAGACACCCTAATGGGCGACCCGCATCAGCCTGATGATTCCTCCCACAAGCTGGGGCCTTGGGTTCCCCAGCCCCCTTGGGCACACCCCCATCACCAGCTCCTGGACTCCATGCCACGTGAGCCTTGGGCACGCCCCCTTCCGGGCTCCTTCTCCCGGCCTGTTCACACCCCTACTCCGGCCCCCACCTCCCAGGTACGCACCGTTGCCTGTTCCCGCATCCCGCAGACACGCACCTCTCCCCGAGCTCCTTGTGCTCCAGCTCCAGGTTCCGGTGCAGCGTCTTCAGGCAGCTGTGCTGGCGGATGAGGACCTCGTACTCTGAGGACTGGTGCTCGTGAAGAGCGCCCAAGCGCTCGTGGTCCTGCAGCAGGGCCTCGTAGGCCGCCGCCAGCTGCTCCCGCTGTTTCTGCAGGCCCTCGTTCTCCGTCTCCTGGGCCGTCTGCTGGCTCTGTAGCAGCGCGTACTGCGCCGTCAGCGAGGCGCTCTGGGAGCTCAGCGTCGAATTTTCCACCTGCGGGGAGGCATTTGGAGCCCTGGTGGCGCAGCGGTATACGTGCGGCAAACCAAGGGTGGGAGGTTCCAATCCACCCAGCGGCTCCGTGGGAGGAAGACTTGGCGATCTGCTCCTTAAAGACCACAGCCTAGGAAACCCTAGGAGGCTGTTCTACACTGTCACGTGGGGTTGCCAGGAGTCGGGAATCGACACATAACAAACAGGCTGAGGTAGAAATACCAGGTTTCCCCTCACTGGCACTGCAGCCTCACAAACTCCTTCCTGCAACAGTACAACCAGGAAGGAGTCAGACAACAAAGGCTGGGGCTCCTGGAGGTCAGCATCCAGACCCGGTTGAGGACAGGCCCACCAGAACTCAAGCAAGGGGCTGAATACCACAACTGGTCAATGAGGTGGCTCTTACAGTCTGAGTCTTTCTCCACAAATGGGGTCTTTTTGGGAAAATTGTGCTCTTTCTGAGGATAACCTCTTTGGATGCTCTCTTTGGCCCTTTCTAAACACATACTTTCTAGAACAAGTCCACGGGAAGATCATTAGGATGTAGAAGATTGTGTGGCACTGTAGGATAAACACTGTACTGAAAGGTTGGTTTGAAACACAAGGTTAGTGGTTCAAACTCATCAGCCGCTCTTCAGAAAACCTATGAGTTGTCAACGGCACTTAAGAACAGCAATACTCAACCAATACAACTTACCTGACTTTTATAGAACACTCCGCCTAGCAACAGTTGAGTATGCTAAATCCAACCACAGACAAAAGTTACCAGACAGACCCTATTCTAGGCCATCAAACACGTCGCCACGAATTTAAAAGCGTTCAAGCCATGCATGGTATTTGCTCTGATCACAATGAAATTAAATTAGAAATCAGTAACAGAAAGATCTCTAAAAATTTTCAAGTATCTGGAAACTAAATAAAGCACTTCTAAAAACAAGCAAACAACTCAGAGGCCAAAGAAGAAATCAAAAAGGATATCCGGAAGTATTCTGACCGGAATGCAATGAAAGCATGACATGCTGAAGGTTGTATGATGCTGCTAAGTCAGTACTACTTCTTGCTGTGTGCCGTGGAGTCGGTTCTGACTCACAGAGACCCTGTATATGATGAGGAGATACCTAAATGTCTACATTCAGAAATTCAAAAATTCCAATCAATGACCTCAGCTTCCACCACTAGAAACGAGAACAACCAGTGAAACTCAAAGCAAGCAGAAGTCAAAATGGAACCAAAAATAGGAAAACAGAGAAAAGTCAATAAAACCAGCAGCTTCTCCTGTGAGAAGATCCATCAAATTGATAGTCTGACTGAAAAGCGAGAAGACCCAAGTAAACCACCCCAGGAAAAATAGCTGAAGCCTCACAGAGATTCTACAGAGCCTAAAAGGATAAAGATACTATAAACAACTCTATGCCAGTAAATTCAACAACTTAAATAAAACAGGCAAATTATTTCAAAGACATAAACTATCCACACTCATTCAAAAAGAAATAGAAATAAACCCTGAAAAGTCCTGTTTATCAAAGAAACAGAATTTGTAGTTTAAAATGTTCTCGTTAAAAACTCTAAGCCCAGAGGGCTTCACTTGTCAATTCAAGTATTTTTTAAAAGAAGTATTTTTAAACTGAAGAGGAGGAAATATTTCCCAACTCATTCTATGAATTATCCTAGTATCAAACCAGACAGATACACCCCAACAACCATAGTTTTTAAAGAAATATTTTACAACTGAAGAGAAAGAAACATTTCCCAACTCATTCTACTAATTATTCTGGTATCAAAACCAGACACATACACACCACCAACAAATAAAAACGCCCTACAAACCAGTATCCTCCATCAACACAGATGTAAAAAAAATTTTTTGCTTAACAAAAATTTTAGAAAATCCAATCCAACAATATATAAAAAAAGTAATATAATGTGATTATGTGTAATTTATATTCCAGGAATGAGAGTTTGGCTTAACATTTGGAATATCAATGTAATTCAGCATAGAAAAAAATGAAAAACTACCTACCATCTAACAAAGATGCTGAAAAAACCCACTCGACAACATTTAAGATCCCATTCCTAATTCAAATTCTAATAGACTACACATAGATGAGGACTTCCCTGACATCATAAAAGGCATTTAAAAATTTTTTTGCTGAAAATCTACAACAAACAGCACACTAACAGTGAAACACTGAGTGCTTTCCTCCTAAGATCAGAGACGAAAGACAAGAGTGTCTGTCTTCACACTTGTACTGGGAACTCTCAGCAGCGCAGTAGTAAGGGGAGAGGAGAAAGTAGTACAACTGCCTTAACGTGCAGATGACATCATCATTTGTGTATAAAATCCTACAGAATCCAAAACAGCCTCTTTCTTGTTTTCATAAAACAAATTCTAACCTGTTTGCCATTTTCTTGCACATTATCCCTATAACCATTGTTACATATTTTCAAACGCTTTTCCCATAAACTGAGTTAATAAATAATGAATGACAATTCACCTGCAAATATCTTTTGTTGTTCTTAAGTGCCGTAGAGTCGATTCCGACCCATAGTGGCCCTCTATAGGGTTTTCGAGGAACGGCTGGTGAGCCTGAACCACTCGCTAACGTTGCATTTCAAACTGACTTTGCGGTTAAGCACATTAATCCACCAGTGTGCTATAGGAGGGAGCAGAGGGCACTAATTCTGCTATATGCCTTCAACCATCTGAGAGGCTCTTCCCAGCTCACTTCTCTCTTGGAGTCAGAATTCACATTTCACTCAGGAAAGCCTCTCTGCCAAATCCTACAGCAGCGAAATCTGGTTAACTCTATTTAACCAAACTTACTGGATACCAGAAGAACATGGACAAAGCTGCAAGACAAAGGCGAAAGAAATGACGCTCCATCACTTAGTGTGGCTTATAAACCACCTTCAGAGTTCCCGAGGGTAGGAAATACTGCTTTCAAGAAGCCTGTTTTGTTTTAAATAATAGCAATAAAACAGTGTTGTGAACTCTCCCATGTTTCCAATTGCTTCTTTTTGGGAGTTGATGAGATCAATGTTGGTGTCTAAGAGATGCAGATCAACAGGTCAGTGTGGTGGTGCCTGCCCCAGCTGCTGCCCTCCTCACTGGCAGCCACCCTCACCTGCAGCTTGGCCGTCTGCGTCTGCAGCGTGGTGTTGTGCTCCTGCAGGAAGGCACTCTGTTTTTGCAGCGTCAGGATCTGACTGCTGAAGGCCACGTTCTGGGACTCCAGGTGCTGTAATTGCTCCTTGAGCAGCTGCTTCTCGGTCTGCAGGGCGGCGTTCTGCGGGGGCAGAGAGCACGAGGCAGATCACACACTGGCCACAGGCACTCGAGCTGTGACTAACCTCAGGTGACAATTCTTTTGAGGGCCAATGCCAGAGTCCAACAGAAAAGACAGTTTCTCCCAATTTGAAAAGGTACATCAATTGATTAAAATATATGAGGAGGCTTCAAAAAGTTCGTGGAAAAATTCCATCACCTTTTAACTCCATTTTTCCATGAACATTTTAATCCATATGCCAGGAGTCCTGGTGTGGCGCTGTAGGTTAATATGTCAGACTGCAAAGTCGTTTGAACTACAAGGTTGGTGGTTCAAGCTCACCAGTTGCTCCTTGGAAACCCTATACAGGGCCGCTATGGGTCGGAACCGACTTGACAGCACTTAACAACAACAACAATCTATATGCCAAAGAGCTCTGGTAGCGTAGTGGTTACAAATCGGGCTGTGAACCTCAGGGTTAGCAGTTCGAAACTACCAGCTATTACCCAGGAGAAAGATGAGGCTTTCTGTTCCCGTAAAGGTTTATAGCCTTGGAAACCCTACACAGGGTCGCTATGAGTTGGAACTGACTCCACGGCACATAACAACAACAATCTATATGCCACGATAGCTGGGCCCTAACAGAATGGGAGAACAATGTGGAAAAAAACCTCAAATGCATTTGAAAACAAAACATCTGTTGGACTGGTTCAGACTGGAGGACTCTCTGAGACTATTGATACTCTTCCAACCTAGACCTGAGACTTATCTTAGAGGTCACCATGTAGCTAAATAACAACAAACTGGCTCAAAAAAGAATATCACAAGTACTATGCTTCTTTTTTAAAAAATTACCTAAACCCGAGAGAGAACGTAAGGGGCAGGGAAACCAGATTACCTAAACCCGAGAGA